GTACCAGCACACGTGGGTGGTTTCTAAGTCTTGAGCAGAACATGAATTTGTATTTTGTCAAGTCTCAGGCTCAGAAAGCCCAGTGAGCAACGGACATAGAGCAGAGTAAAATTTAAAAATATAAATAGGACTAGTATTCATGAGCATGATTATGTTATTAGGGTCACCTAGAGCAGCGCAGTTTCAATGTCTCCATCTTGTTCAAATTCATCATTCTCAGCGGTGGCGATATCGAGAGCCTTGTCAGGATTGGACGATACCAGTGTGAAGTCACCTATACCATCATGCACTCTACCGTTAACATGGGTGCTGTCTGAACGGTAGCTAATGACAGGCGCACCGTTACTCAGCTCACATTCGTTGTCGTCGTCCAACGTTACGATGCCATGTTCATTGAGCTCAATGCCGTCGACGAGCTTCGCCGTACCGGAAATCAACGTGCCGTGTCGCCGCTCGTACTGGCAAATGATTCTCTCCGACACTAGGTACAGCGCTGCCACAATGCAGCACATGATTGCGCAGGAACGGAACAGCCAACGGGCACCGAAGTGATGGTACACGAAACCACCAAGCACGGCCCCCGTCCCGCGGCCCACGCCCCTAAACATGCCATTTAGCACACCCTGCAGAGTAGCTTCCAAATTTGGCGGCGCTATTTTCTTGCAGTAGGACACACAGCAGGACCACATCAGTGCAAAGCATACACCGTGTAGCGGTTCTATCGGCATGACCAGCCAGGGGTTCTGCAGCAGCGAGTAGCCCAGGAATCGAATGGCGTAGCACATCAGCACAAACACCAGCACCATCGTGTGGCCAAAGCGCTTGATCACTGGGCCGGCGATAAGAAACAGCGGGATTTCTGACATGCACATGGTCAGAACAGAGAGACCAAGGAGCAGTTCGGATGCACACAGCTCTGTTAGGAACCAGAATAGAAAGTTGTCAACGATGGACATCGCAATGGCTAAGAAGAACACAGCGACAAGAAAGCAGATTGCGCGGGCGTTGCACAGAGCCAAGCGCAAACCTCGGCCGATTCGGATTCTCGTTTGTACTGTCGTAGCTGCCGTAGTCTTAGCGCTCAGCGGATGGTAAGTATCCTTCAGCTTCAGTGCAGCCCCTAACGAGATGACATACAGGACGGCAAAACCAACAAAGTGAACAGTATAATTGCCCCGGCCGCAGGAGTCGGCCAATGAGCTTGATCCAAAGCCAGCCGCGGCATTAGCGATTCCAAAACCCACGGCTCCCCACAGGCGCTGGCGACCAAACTGTGAAATGCGCTGGTGGCCGAGAGTCTCCAGGACAATCGTATCTGTCAAGGGGAGCACTGGGGCGCCCACCAGTTCACTGAAAAATATCATCACAACAAAATATGCCAGGGTTCTAGCATGGCTTCCAGAGGAGCCCTGTTCGATCGGGATGGGGGATGATGTGGCGTTAGCATCTGGTGACTCAGTTGATTGGCCTGGTGATATCGCAGTGGATAACGAAAGTCTGGTCATAGCTGAGTGTTTCCATGGCAACGATGTTGTGGAGCTGGCCGTGGCTATCGTGGTGTTGCCCCCGGTGATGGGTGGTACGCCATCAAGTACACAGTGTGCCGAGGCACCGCAACCCACTTGCTCGTCCGCTGGTACGAACCATATACTGAACGTGATCATGGCATAGAGGATAGCGCTGATGAAGAGAATAAGTCTGCGACGCTGCAGTTTGTCAGCCAGAGGGAGAGGGAGAGGGAGAGGGAGAGGGAGAGGGAGAGGGAGAGGGAGAGGGAGAGGGAGAGGGAGAGGGAGAGGGAGAGGGAGAGGGAGAGGGAGAGGGAGAGGGAGAGGGAGAGGGAGAGGGAGAGGGAGAGGGAGAGGGAGAGGGAGAGGGAGAGGGAGAGGGAGAGGGAGAGGGAGAGGGAGAGGGAGAGGGAGAGGGAGAGGGAGAGGAAGAGGGAGAGGGAGAAATAGAGAGAGATAGTTACACTTATAAAGTCTAAGAACAACAACAACAACAACAACAACAACAACAACAACAACAACAACAACAACAACAACAACAACAACAACAACAACAACAACAACAACAACAACAACAACAACAACAACAACAACAACAACAACAACAACAACAACCAGTGGAAGATAATGCCCCAGACGACAGGCCTTATCTGCTGATGCTGATTTTTGCAGTCGCTTGAACTCGGAAGCACCCGCAGTTCCACGCTGGATGAAGGAACGCTTCTTTGCCTGACCTTGAGTATGCTCCCCTTGTGTGGATGGGAGTGGCATCCAGCCACCTGGCCAGACTCGACGGTGTGCATAAACGTGTTATAGCCATTATAGGCCCTGGTGCCCTTCTCCAAAGCCTGTGCCACCTCCGAACTGTATCTGGGTTGGAGAACTCAGCCATCAGTACGACAGGGTATGATGTGCCAAGAAGAGGCAGTTGTTGAATGTGGCTGAGTTGGTTTGAGATGTTGCTCGCATTAAGGTCTAGACAGCTGCCAAGTCCAGACGAGCGGAGGTGGGTGGGAAAGGTCACCGATTGGGTCAAATTATAGCAAGAGAAGAGATTGTCAAGACTCAGGCCCTGTGCATGCATCTGGTCAGTTGGGCACCATTCGGAATACCTACAGTCACATGATATCACGAGGGCTTCGGCATTCCTTTGAGTCGATTGCAGGGCTATTAAATTTTGGAAGCGGTCGAGAAAAGTCGAGAAGTCATCCGTCGACGAGGAAGGAGCACGATAGATACAGGCTACTGGTAGGCGAGGTATTGGCAAGTCAGAAGGTGAGACAAGCTTATTTTCAGCGAGTGTAAGCCGAAGTGCTAGCGCTTCCAAGCCAGGTTACTGAAACGCCGGTAGCTGATTAAAGTACGTACACAGACCTTCACGCACTGAGACTAGAACTCCTCCGTACTCAGTGGGTGTTTGGATCACGGTTCTGTCTATTTTGTAAAACAGGTCGGTCTCGACGGAAGCATTCATAGTGTGGCACGTGGAAAGCTTGTGTGGGAGTTAGCCAGGTATCTCTAATGTACGATGGCTTTGTGATCCTCACAGATTTGAATTAGTTCGCCCGACTTGGTTGCTGTGGAGCTTGAAAGTGCTACGTCACAGCATAGCAACAATTTCAAAAATTCAAAAACTGGATCCACTTGGATCCAGTTTTTGTATGGATCCAAGCACATTTCAAGCGGTCTTACCCACAGCATGGTGATGTAGCCAGTGAAACTGACTGATTTGGCTACTGGGGGCGGGGCTACAACTGGTGGCGAAATAAAAGTCACACCTGCATGCGACAAAAGTGGGTTGCTATGCACCCACATACTTAGGCAATAGCAAAGTCACACCTTAGTGGATCCAAAAATAGAAATCTGATGTCAACTTACTACTCCCTGGCCGTTTTGACGTCATCACTTTCAAGCCCTATTGTACGTCGGTGAGTAGCAACTGTTATGGGGGGGGGGGGGGGGAGAGAGAAAGGTGGGGCAAGGACGGGGTTACGTGGACGAGGAGGGAGAGAGGTTACTCATTGGAAGCTTCGAACATGGAGTGAATATAGGGTATTGGGACTTAGTCGTTGTTGCTGCATTATTGTGTATGTTGGTTTGTCATATTCATCATCAGAAATCATCGTAATTTGTGGTCTAGGCAGGCACAGTGGGTTGGTCAAAGACCATGATTGAGATACGAGAGGTACCTGGTTCAAGCCCTGCCTCGGAGCGGTTTTTCCAGCCGTGCTGCTTCCCACAGTCAACTGGGAACCTGTGGCCAGGCACAAGGGGTACATGTATGCAGCTAATGGGGTCGTTCTCGGCACTTGTGCCAGTGGTTGTGAGACATATCCACTCACTCACCGTTAGGCGCTGCATCTGCCGCTATGGTTTATCGGGTGTTAGCGGCCGTCGTGAGTTCCCTTCGGGAACGGACACGATAATTTACTTTTCTTTTCTTCTTTTTTTAAAGTTCAATGATGATTTCGGATGATGTGTTACGAATGCGTTCACTTGTCTTTATTTCTATCGCTAACCAGTGCGATGCTCTTCAACATGTTTTCACGGTGAAAGCTTGAACAAGGCGGATGACCCTGTATGGGAAACAGTGCTCCTGACTAACATGATAAACCGGTTGGTAGAGTCTGGGTCTTGCGACCATTTGAACCGTATGGGGCTATGCTGAGGTTCAGACCCTCATTATTCTATGGGGCATAGCCCCTGATGCTGAGCAAGCAACCTCCAGGACTGCCTGGCACTACAATCAGGCAGACTGGGGGCGCTTGCGGGCCTTCTATCACACTACTGACTGGCCTACCATTGTGACTGACGACCCATATAACAACTGTAGCTGGAGAGGCCTTGGAAGAATTGTGTGCAGAGCATCAACTCCACCAGCATGTCTCGCAGCCGACTAGGGGTCTGAACACCCTGGATCTCATCCTCTCCAACATGCCCGTTCCTATCGCTACCACTGTCAAACCGCCACTTGGTCGCTCTGACAATGGGGTTGTTGTTGCCGACTTTTATATCACCTCCGATGCTCAGCAAGCAACCTCCAGGACTGTCTGGCGCTACAATCCGGCAGACTGGGGGCGCTTGCGGGCATTCTATCGCACTACTGACTGGTCCACCATTGTGACTGACAACCCTGAAGAGTCCTGCAGGAAGCTAAGTGACGTCATCTCCAGGGGCATGCAGTAATAATAATTTATCCCCGCCAAGCAGCTCGTTACCCACCCAGGAGACCTCAAATGGTGGACTCCTGAGTGCACCACAGCATTGAACACTAAAGACAAGGCATGGAAGGCCTGGAGACGCAATATTTTCAGCGAAGCCAAAAAGGCTTGCTTCATGCGCTCAGTAGAAGATGCTATCCTCGTGCGAGCGAGCACATCCTGGGAACTGAGAGTTCGTCGGAAACTGTCACGCGGAGGCCTGAGAGACAGGCAAAGGTGGTCGGTGCTCAAATCTGCTGCTGGCGCAAGTTATGGCTCGTCTATATCATGCTTGGTGGATAACGCTGGTCACCAACTCAGTATGAATTGTGAACTGTCAAATTGTGAATCATTATGCGATCACATTATCATGGGTTTTCAATAAAATTCTTTGGTACCAGCAAGAGTACATAATCCCCAGGTGTCTTGGTACCAGTATCAGGGAAGAGAGTTTCTCCCTTCCCTGATACTAGTACTGTGATATGCTCAGTAGTAGAGTATAGTAGTACTGTGATATGCTCAGTGGTAGAGTATAGTGGTACTGTGATATGCTCAGTGGTAGAGTATAGTAGTACTGTGATATGCTCAGTGGTAGAGTATAGTAGTACTGTGATATGCTCAGTAGTAGAGTATAGTAGTACTGTGATATGCTCAGTAGTAGAGTATAGTAGTACTGTGATATGCTCAGTAGTAGAGTATAGTAGTACTGTGATATGCTCAGTGGTAGAGTATAGTGGTACTGTGATATGCTCAGTAGTAGAGTATAGTAGTACTGTGATATGCTCAGTAGTAGAGTATAGTAGTACTGTGATATGCTCAGTAGTAGAGTATAGTAGTACTGTGATATGCTCAGTAGTAGAGTATAGTAGTACTGTGATATGCTCAGTGGTAGAGTATAGTAGTACTGTGATATGCTCAGTAGTAGAGTATAGTAGTACTGTGATATGCTCAGTAGTAGAGTATAGTAGTACTGTGATATGCTCAGTAGTAGAGTATAGTAGTACTGTGATATGCTCAGTAGTAGAGTATAGTAGTACTGTGATATGCTCAGTAGTAGAGTATAGTAGTACTGTGATATGCTCAGTAGTAGAGTATAGTAGTACTGTGATATGCTCAGTAGTAGAGTATAGTAGTACTGTGATATGCTCAGTGGTAGAGTATAGTAGTACTGTGATATGCTCAGTAGTAGAGTATAGTAGTACTGTGATATGCTCAGTAGTAGAGTATAGTAGTACTGTGATATGCTCAGTAGTAGAGTATAGTAGTACTGTGATATGCTCAGTGGTAGAGTATAGTAGTACTGTGATATGCTCAGTGGTAGAGTATAGTAGTACTGTGATATGCTCAGTGGTAGAGTATAGTAGTACTGTGATATGCTCAGTAGTAGAGTATAGTAGTACTGTGATATGCTCAGTAGTAGAGTATAGTAGTACTGTGATATGCTCAGTAGTAGAGTATAGTAGTACTGTGATATGCTCAGTGGTAGAGTATAGTAGTACTGTGATATGCTCAGTAGTAGAGTATAGTAGTACTGTGATATGCTCAGTGGTAGAGTATAGTAGTACTGTGATATGCTCAGTAGTAGAGTATAGTAGTACTGTGATATGCTCAGTAGTAGAGTATAGTAGTACTGTGATATGCTCAGTAGTAGAGTAT